CAGTAGGACTGTATTTGATAATGATTTAAAATGTGTGGCGAACATCACCAGCACCACCACAGCTAACGCCACCACCACTACCACGTATTTGTCACGATCATCCACCATCAACACCGCCATCACATCCATTATCACCACCGATCATCACTACCCTCGCCCATAATCACTACCGATCTACCATCACATCCATCACCCACCACGTCTACGTGCAGCCACAATCATCACTACCAACATACAATCACATTAACCAGAATTACCCAAATCTACTGCTCACCACCTCATAATTACCAACCTACCATCATAATCATCATCACCACCCACCATGACCAGTGATCCACCACCACATTCATCATCACTACACACTATCATTACCACCACCAGCATCACCATCACTACCAACCTACCATCATGTTCATCATCACCACCATCATAATCACCATCGCCAAATCACTAATATCCCATCACCATGGTGTAGTGGATAGACTTGCTCTGAACCAGGCGATCTGAGTTCAATTCCCGGCCAGGGCTAATATCAGTGGCGAGTGCCGGTCATGGGTGCCCCCCCCCTCCCCCCACCGTATTCACCTCCCCGCACTCAGCAGGGTGGTGAAGTATGGTCAAACAGCCTCAATGACCAAGACGGCGTGCAGAGGCAGTTAACCAACAAAGGGAAATTTAATGATCATTACTACACGGAGGTGCAATCACGGAGATTGATGCATTTAGACGCGTTTCCAAGTCGGTAAATTACGTGAGTTTGTTAGATACCCGAAAAAGAGACTTCGTGGGGAGGCCTTCACCCAGCAGTGACTTGACGAAGGGATGTAATCACTTATTATTGTTATTATCTGAGCGACAAAACCCATCTGGGACTTGACGTGGACTAATGTAGTGAGATTTTAATCACTCATCTCTTCCCGGAGGCCTGTAAACCGGCACGCTACCAGTAGCAGCAGCGTCACCTCCCTCCACGTGGAGTCCTCTCTCTACTCTCACGGCCATCACGGGCACCATGGACGGTGCCGCGTCTCGTGCTCACCACGGTCCGACCGGTGGTGTAAGATCGACATTACTACGGCCGCGACAAGTACATCCAGAGAATGACCATGCACCCGTGGACTTCCAGCAACTTGACTGGTGAAGCAGGTGACAGGCCCCGTTCTGATATCACTCGCCACTCATGTTAGCCGTGGCCAGGAATCAGGTCACATTGTCTTTCCATAATGCAGTGAGCTAGATGGGTATTTTGAAAAAAGAAACCCTTTTCAGTTTTCATTTCATTATCCTTTCCACCCCCCCCCCCCAAATTACTTTTAAAAATTGTGCCATCTGCGTTATGTTGTCACGAGTACGGCTACATACATGGAGGATTAGATCACAGAACTACTTTGGAGATCCCTTCATTTGCCTTTTATCCACACTAGGTGGGGCTCGTCATAACATCATCATCATCATTATCGTCGTCGTTTTTTCATCTATCAAACGTTTAATGTGACATCACCATTGTCATATATCAGTTGCGTATCATCATCGTCATGATCTTGTATTAGCCCTACGGAGAGTGTTCGTCGCAGGTCAATACCATTCTGTAATTCTCCAACTCGATATTTAGCCGAAGTGAGTGACACTCCAGATTGAAATGTAGGGTTTTTTTGTGTGTGGAGTTACTGGTAACCGGGCTGAGATCATCAACTACTCTAAGCCTACAATTGAGAGTTTAATCACGGGCAGCTTCAACCACGAGAATTCTAACGACAGAATCTCAGCATTGGCAGCTCACTCCGTGTGGCTGACACGGCCATTAAGAACTCCCTTGAACCTGCCAGATGAATAGAAACAAAAGTCTGATTATTGTGTTGAAAACGTTGGCGCATGTGCGGAACACAGACACACACACATACACACACGCGCGCGCGCGTGCACTTCTTCCGTGTGTCTGGGAAGCATTGTTCACAGTTGTGAAAGCCCGCAGAAGAATTCTTTATTGGCGTGAAGGACGCCTGCTGGGTTGCTCGTGCGAGCTGGCTCGAGAATGAAGCGAGCGCCCTCATTGTGCCGGGCACAAGGCGTGACGGCGCCCGCGCGTGGCCCCGTGCCAATCTGCCGCCCTGCGCGGTAGCGTGGCCCAACCTCACGCAGTCAGAGGTAACGATTAGGAGATGGAACAACCCATTCTCTCCCGCGGTGCTTCGGTCAACTGATTTTGATTGACTGAGTGATTGACTTTATATTATCGGACAAGAACCCATTTAGACATCAATTTTCCGTTTTGTGTATGTGTGTGTTTTTTGAACTGGTGATCTAGGTCAAGAAGTCAAAGCCAAAACAGAGTGAACACACAAACAGATAGGCGAGTCAATCACACGGCAGCATTCAACGCGTGCCATTTATCTTGAGCCCTACTTTGTAGTCTCATTTATTGCGTTCTTCTATATCGCAATAGTCCGTTTCTATCATGGGACCTGTTTGTCAATATCAAAGTATAAAAAAATTACAATAGGTTTTACCCTTTCTGGCAATAAAACAGGAGGTGTTAAGATGTTCAAACACCAAATAGAAACTTTTGCAAAGCATCAAGTTTACTGCATTAACCACACACAGTACTTGTGGTGAACATGGTAAACATGCTGTGAATATATAAGCGTTGTCTTTGAAACTGATTGCCCTACACCAGAGACAGCCTTCTTCATGGCCGAGTCTCGCAAGTGTCAGACCAGAGATTGCCAACAGGCGAACAGTACAGAGATAATGCAGCATGTATCAACGCATTTTACAGCTCGGGGTGAGCAGCTATATTACCGTTTCTATTAAATTAAATGTTTTGACAGAAATGAATTACTGTACTTCAATGAAAAAAAATATGCCTCCGTTATTTTTTCTTTCAGAAAGCGTGATAACAATGACCTGAAGAATTAGAGACCCATTTGCCTGGTATCTCACGTGGTTGGATTGTTCATGATCGTTGGAAACACGCCAATCGATGACTGAACAGGCCAACCAATCACGTGATGAAATGAGATTTAAGAAAGGTTTCTCCACCACGGGCCACATCCGCACTACCAATCAGATTCTGGAAGGAAAAAGACAGCCTAATGAAGTCCAAATTCCCTTATGCCGATCTGTTTTTAGACAATTACGTTAATTTGACACCGTGGGTATTGAGGCGGTTATCCCAGAAGACGTATTTATAACGAAACTAATTTAGATAAATGGAACATGTATACTAAGATTACATGAACAAAGTAACACAATACATACTAAGAAGGGGAGTCAGACCAGGAGACACGCTTTCACTAGTATTACCCACATCAACATTAAACGTTGATTTTCAAAATTTGTATTGCAGAAATAATTGTATAAATGTTATGTCAATGGAGAAGGGATTTGCCATCTCCATATTTGGCGATGACAGAGCCATTAAAACAACGAATTGAAATGCAGACAACGAAGCAGCGAGGAGGATTCCAGACGTTAAGAGCAGCAGATAAGAAGTAGCGATCTCCCACAGCTGAAGACTGAAGTGTCTCCGTCGACTCAATTAATCGGGCGGCATTCATCTCACTTAGCGGCTCGGAAAATGTAACATTTTCATGACAGTAAAGCACTGTGTCTAGACGACACTCTTGACTTTCCACGAAACGACACTCGCTTTAGTTACAGTGCTGAATAGACTCAGCAACGATAATAATGTTTAAAAAAATAATAATTTACCCACAAATCATACGCTGATACTCAAGACTCTTATTCGGGAGGGTCCTGCTACAGCGGTGATCGGCAACCTGCGGTTCCGGAGCCGCATGCGGCTCTTGCAAGGAATGTTTCGTGATGTTATTCATTAAGGATCACCACCGTCTCGTATTAACATGCATTGCGGCTCTTGAGATATTGAGGTTAAGGCTGAATTCGAAAAAAAAGTCTCTTATTTTGGTTGCCGACCTCTGTGCTACGGTGACATAGTTGGCAAAATCTTTTAGAAAGGGGTATGGCTTTGTGCGGTAAATACCTGGAGAAAAACCCCGCGGATGGGAGGAAATAGCAGCCAAAACCTACGTGCAGATGGATTCAATAATCCGGTGCTGTCAGGGCCGGATTAAGATTTTGTAGGCCCCTGGGCTACAGGTACTGTGAGGCTCCCAGGAATATTTTCAAAAGGAAAACAAAGCTAAAGAAAAATAAAATGTATTTTTTACAAGGCTAACAACAAATAAAATTAAGCATTCATAAGTGAAATAACTTTTCACTTAATCTCTGGAGGCTCTCCAGCTGGCGGAGGCCCCCTGGGCTGCAGCCCCTAAAGCTCGTGCCTTGATCCGGCCCTGGGTGCTGTGCTCACATCTCCTGGTCACATCGGAGCGCAAGCCTACAACAACTGTTTTTTTCTCTCTCAGGTGGTCTCCCACAGCCAAATGCAGGCCAAGATCAACTTGCTTAGCTTCCCAAATGAGACGTGAACGAGGATGGACGGTGACTCGGCAGTGGCGACCTGGGAATCGTGGAAGAGAACTCGCAACACCTTGCGAGTGAGCCGAGCGCTCTTACCAAAGCGACCCCAAATGGAATCACGCACGCACACACGAGGATCGCGAGGACACAAATAACCTTCTCTGTACCCTCGGTTCGACGGGAAACGGCGAGAAGCCCGAGATTAAACAAATCGCAGCCTCAATTATACGTTTATGAATTATTTAAAGCTGCCTGTGCGTCGTGAGTACATTCACAGGCAAGGCACGAACACACCTACAGCACTGCATGGAACACTCACACGCCACATGCAACACACACACACACGCGCGGTGTACATGCTGCATATACTGTCTTGATGGCATGTGCAGCTTACATTTGGAACACACACGCGGCCGCCCATGCACATTTAGAGGATCGTGGTGTTGCCGTGTGTGTGAGTGTGTGCGTGTGCAAGCTGCCTCGTGATGTTGCCGTGTGTGTGAGCGTATGTAAGCTGCATCCTCCCCTTTAATCTACACCCCCCCCTCTCGACTCACCCCCCTCCGCCTGCCCGTCTGTCCGAGACGCGCGTGGTGGGGGAGACGGGCAGACAGGGAGCAGAGGGGCGGACGAGGACGACGACGACGACGAGGAGGAGGAGGAAGCGACGTGGGGATGAGAGGCGGTGGTGGATCTACGGCAAGCGTTTGTCAATGGTGACCGGCGGCAACTGCGACGCACAGCCCCATTCCCGGGCGCTTCGCCTTGCGTCTCTTACATCATAACAACCAGCGGCACGCAACAGCAACAACAACAACAACCAGCACCACCACCGCCGCAACCACCGCGAAGCGCGCTCGTGCGCGGTGCGCGCGCGCAACGCGCACGCACCGCGGTCCCGATTCCCGCCGGCGGTTGCCGCCTTTTGAGGAGGGTCGAGGAGACGGCGGTGGAGAAGGCAGAGAGAGGAGAGAAGCGGCCCTCTCCGACCCATCCACGAGGCAGCACAACAAGGGCGCACACCGGCAGGTGAGTACACGCGCGCGTGTTCACGACGATGGTGATGGCGATAATGCGCGCGCCGTGTGCGTGCGTGTCGTCATTAGCGGTGTCGCAGTGCTGAGCTCACTGCGCTATGAACCCGGCGACCCGAGTTCAATTCCCGGACACCGCCAACATCGGCGGCGAGTGATGTCCCAGTCGGTTCTTTGCCTTCCCCGTGTGTCGACTCGGTCTTGAGTTACGCGGTTGCATACATCGCTGCTCGGGAGACAAAGGCGGTCGCGCGTGATGCGATAGCGCTTATGCCTGCGACGTTTCGGCCTTAATAGGTGCTCGCGAAAACCGCTTGGGCCACACGGGGAATCTTTGTCAGTGTATGTGTGTGTGTGTGTCCGTGTGTGTATGTGTCCGTGTGTGCATCAGTCGTCGCATCAGCTCATGCATTTATGATCACACGCACACACGCGCGCGCGCGCCACATGCGAACGTGTGCACACAGATGTGAGCCTTCTGTTGTGTACTCTGTGAACCCATAGGAGCGGTGTACTGTGTGGACCCCAAGGAGTGTTGTGTTGTGTGCATACATAGGTGTACTGTGAGCAGACATATGCTGTGCCTAGGCGCACACACACAGGTGTGTAGCAGCTTCAGATCACCTGGACGACGCAATCGCCATGCAGGTGTGCACACGCGTGAGCGTGTGTCGAATGTAGTTGAGTGTGTGTGTGTGACAGCACTTGCCCCAACAGTCTGTTGAAGGCTATACGGGGGATCATTGTCTTTGTTGAATGTTGTGTATAGTGCAGCGTGGTAGTGCGTACTTGTGCGATATAGCATGCCAATCAACTCGGTCAACCCACGGAACCTGGGTCTGTCCCGTGACCTCCTGCCGGCGAGCCTTCGATACTTCACATAGCATGAAGGTGCACCTAGCCTGGCACAATCATCGTTATGACGTCACCGACACTTCGTGGCGAACGGCGGTTGTTGTTAACATAGCATGCGTGCTTAGCGATAGTGTGGAGGATAGCGCACTGCGCTACATACCCGGCGACTCGAATTCGATTCCCGCTCACAGCCAACATCAATGACGATTATCTGAACCGGTGCCGGGCTTCCCCTAGGTCGACTCAGCCTCATATGAGTATCTGGTGCGGTGTGTAAACATCAGCACTGGGGAGAGACAGGCGGTCCGGGCGTGGTGCTGGCCGCCTATTACCTGGTGTGCCCTGTCAAGGCCTCATATATCCGTGCACTTGCCCAGTCTGTTAAAAGCTATACGGGGGGTATTCGCCTTTCTATGTGAAGCTCGTAGTGCAGTGTATAACCCAATCAAACATATATTCACTGCGCATCGTGTCCGCGTTGTAAATGAAGGCACTCAGATTGCGTCAATTAGCAGAGTCCTGACCTCGCCCCCCCCCCACCTCTCTCTCCTCCCCTTGATGCGTGACCCCCACTCCGCCCATCATCTCACCAGAGCCCCCACCCTCGTGCCCACAACGTCATTCTTCCAGGTTCCAGAGGGTCACTAAGTTCACCGTCTCAGCCTTCTTCAGCTCTGGAGATTAAATACAGATATGGTTAACAGGCTTTTCAGTTTTTTAAGTTGCATTTATTTAGTATAGCCCTGTGAGCCATTCGGATCTTGAATCGGGTGCAACCGCAACAAACCAAAAAAAAACATGAACAAGAAAACATCTTAAAGTGACTATGCGCAAATAGAAAAATCCAGGAAAAAACAGCAAAAATCTTCCACAAAAAGCACCGTACACCAACGCTCTGTGCAAAAATCTCAGTGGGATGCAAGTCAAACTACAACAACAACCACAAGACAACTTAAATTAAAGCCACCATTCTAACTCCGTACTACAACAAAAAAAGACATGGCCAAACCAAGCGGCGACACCCGAGTTGGATTCGCGGTCGCGGCTCACATCAGTGGCGAAGTGACCTTAAATGTGGTTCATGGGTCTCAACCCTCCCCCAGTCACCAATCCGCGCTGACCAGCGTGGTGAGGTATGGTCGAACAGTCCCTGTGATCAACACGAGGGTGTTCACACACACACACGCGCGTGCGTACAGCATCAGAACGCGCACGTGTATGTCAGCGTGTGTGGGGAGCAGTAAGGCATAATAAAGGGTTTTGGGTTAGATCGCGTAAGTATGTGTCGTAACCCTCCACCACCGACACAACCAATTAGTAAGGGATTTGTCACGTAAACAAAACGCCAAATTGTTACTACTTGAGCCCACCAGTGTATTTGAGAGTTAAACTGAGCGGTGAGGCAGTGGTTAGTGCACTGCGCTGCTACCCAGGAGACACGCGGTCGATTCCCGCTCACGACCAAAATTTAGCGGCGAATATTTCAACCGGTCCTGGGCCTCACCTATAGGTCGACTCACGTTTAAAAGGAGTACCTGGTGCGATGTATAAGCATCCAACATTCGGGAGACAAAAGCGGCCGGGCGTGGTGTTGGCCACCCGAGCCTCTCGTGCGCCGTGCCGGCCTTCGTCAGGTGCTGGCTGACAACACTTGCCCCTCCACAGTGTGTTTCAGGCGACAAGGGGGGGAATCTGTATCTGTATGTGCGCGTACACACACGCGAACTGTGAGCAGCGTCAATGAAGTTGCAGACGCCGCGTTGTAAGACCACAGCCGTCGGAATTCGCTAATTGGTGGGGCGAAATAGTGTGAATTGTTTTTTTGGGGGGGTTCTAAGTAAAAATTTCCCTTGCCCTTCTCCCTGGAGGCAGAGCTCCGCCACCCCAACGCAACCGCCACAGACTGCACGCATCCTCGAGTTGTTAATTAATTAGGCAATTAAGCCGCCAGAGCAAATCGCTGGGGGGGGGGGGGGAGGTGACTACTCCCACCGCCCCTAACCCCCCTCTACCCCCACCCGCCAGCCCCCCCCCCCCCACCACCACGACATCCGCGCCTCTTGCTGTTGCTGCTCAGTTCGGAGGAGACTGGGAAGGCGGCAGCCCCATTAACAACAATAATAATAATGACACGGGCATGCGTGAAACTCGCGGTGCGAGAGCGATTACGTCGCGGACACGTGAGTGTGGGGGGGGGCTATGAATGGGGGACGGGGGGGTTGGGGCTAAGAGGGGGGCGGGGCGAAAGGGAAGGGGAGGGGGAAATGACCCCCCCTCCTTCTCCTCTCGTTCCGCCCAGCGCTCTTGACATCAACCCGTGCAACCGAACGTCACGTGACGCTGGTTCCTCCAGCAAGCACGCGGTCGGTCTTCGTCATCATCATCAGCTCCACCATCAGCATCATCATCATCAGCTCCACCATCAGCATCATCAGCTCCAACATCAGCATAATCATCATCATCAGCTCCACCATCAGCATCATCATCATCATCAGCTCCACCATCAGCATCATCATCATCAGCGCCACCATTAGCATAATCATCATCATCAGCTCCACCATCAGCATCATCATCATCATCAGCTCCACCATCAGCATCATCATCAGCTCCACCATCAGCATCAGCAGCAACACGATGAGCACCATTTTCATCCGCAGCAGAAACAGCAGCATCATCAATATCATCGAGGGTGGAAATCCAGTAAAGACACAGAGGCTTTCGCGACCAATATTATTTATAATAAAGGTGTTTGGGTTAGATCGCGTAAGTATAAATGTGTCGTACTCAAATTGTAAATGGTGTGGATTGACTCTCCAACACACCGGTGGGCTGAAGTAGTAACTAATTAGGTGTTTGTTTACGTGACAAACCCCCTTACCAATTGGCTGTGTCAGAGGGTAGAGGGTTACGACGCATTTATACTTACGCGATCTAACCCAAAAACCTTTATTATGAGCCAGTAAAGAGGTATGTAATAATAATCAGCAGAAGCAACAGCATCAACAAAAGAAACATTCCACACCTCTAAATCCCCGATCACAGGACACGCATCCGTTGAGTAGGGCTATAACGATGCATCGACTCATCGACTAACATCGATTCTAAGAGAAAACACGGCGACCTGAGGTCGATTCCCCGGCCGTGGCTAACATCAGTGGTGAGTTATATTTGAACAGGTCCTGGATACTTTCCTCCACCCCAACCCTTTACGAGTGTGAAGTATGGAAAGATAACCCCCATGACGACCGACACTGTGTGAGTGAGGCCTCCATGCAGCAGTGGATTGACGCGGGTCTGTGTATTAATATCCCCCCCCACCCCCCACCGAGTGACTGGCACGTGGAGGATTATGCACAGGAGATTGCTGCTGTCATAGAGGGGACGTGACGGGCGCCTAAAGTCTTTGAAATATCCCGCTCCTAAATATCCACCGCTTTGATCTTGCGATGAGAGGGGCAGGTGAGGGGTGGGGCGGTAGGGGTGCTGGAGGGGCGGGGGATCGGCCAGATACACTCTCACCTGGAGGCAATTAAGGAATAATTAATCAATTAGCGAGTGCCGCTTTCTCAAAGGATTCAGTCGTCACCGCGTTAATTGGCCTCCCAGCCTCATCTCGCAGTCTCAGCGCTCGGCAGTGAGGGGGCGCAGCTGTCGAGTGTGCAGGCGGTGCAACTGCACCGGAGCTCAGAGTCGGAGCAGCCAACCATGTGGCTCCATTGGCCCGAGTCGCGCGTTCTTCGAGAACAAATGATTTGGTGATGCTGATGCGATTGCTGCTGCTGCTGTTGGCAGCGGTGCACAAGCACAAGTAACAAAACAACACTCAGCATGTGTTTCAATAACACTGTGTCGCCTTAAAAGGACAAACATATAATAGGCGACGTTTCGGCCAATGATTCTCCTAACTTGCTGGTATTGTTCCTCTTGGTGCAAATCGCGTGACCGTTCAATAATGAATTCCTGCGCGGAGCTGCGAGGCCTTTACCCGTTCACGACCATTTCCCTGTCATGCATTTCGCAGGTTCACTCCGAGGAGCCATGCAGACTGAGCTGCCCGGCTGCCCCGAGTGAAGGGCAGGTCCGGGTGACCCAGTGTCCCGGGTAGAGGGCAGGGCGAAGCCAAGGCTTGCCGTGCAAAGGGCGAGACAGCGGGCCATGCCGCCGGGCAAGGAGAAGTCTCGGCGCTCCCGCGGCCACGGAATGCCCTCACCGGCGCTGTGCTGCGCGTGCGGCCTCTGCGTCATGCTGGCCGGCATCAACATCACGTTGGTCGGCGTGTTCGCCTTCGGCTCGTTCGCGCCGGGCAGCAACCCGCCCATCATCATCGGGCCCGTGCTCCTCGCCCTCGCGCTCCTCTTCTTCGGCGCGTGCTGCGTGTGCAGCAGGAGGCCGGGGGGTTTCTCCGCGCCGGGAGCCGCGCGGCGCAAGAAAGCGGCGTCGAAGGCCGGCGGGGGAGCGCGGGGAGGCGGCGGGTTCCCGCGGGCCGGCGCCGCGTCCGCCTCGGCCGCGTCCGGGGTGGCCGGCGCCTTCGAGCTGGAGACGAGCGAGCACACGATCCAGGACACCACGGCCTTCCAGCTTAGCCCCACCGCCTCGCCGGTCTCGTCCAAGCCGTCCAGCCCGGTGCACGCGGGGGATGGGGACGCGGCGTCGATGGGAGGAGTGGGGCAGCAGAAGCAGGTCGTAGGGGCGTGCGGGGTGTTCACCGTGCCGAGCAGAGCCAGCCCGGTCGGCGGCTCGGCGGCTGGCGTGCACTACCGGAGCACCGGGGAGTCCGTGCACATCCCTCTCGGGGAGCAGTTGTGGCCGAACCTCGAATGCGGGCAGCAACAGCAGCAGCAGAATCAGAACGTTAGCCTCATCCAGTAGCGGTCGTACCATCCCGGAAGACCTAGCAAAGGCTTCCAAGGTGGAAGCCGTTTAAGCGGAGCGAGTGTCTCGCTGGTGCGATCTCGCAGTGGAAAAGTTTCGTGCTGTCCATCCGTGTCGGGTCGCTAGGCCAAGGGAGGAATGCGATAGTCTTGCGAGAGCAGCCCGATTCGTGTACCCAGCCAGCACGGTTGCCCCCCGTGCTGATGACGGAACGGCGCGCCGAATCGTTTGCGAGTCATAGAAGGACTGCAGTGGTGATTACGAGGCGAGTCCGTAGGCCAGAATCCAACCCGTGACCTCCCAATGTTCCAGGCCAGAATCTAGGAGTTAGGAACTCGCGGCTCGACTGAGCGCTGCCCTGTGCTCGTGACTGAGCGTACCGACGTGACCTCATCGCCGTAGCTATTCGTCATCATCATCATCACCATCATCAACAATACCATCATCAATTATGCATATTACTAATCGTCATTATCACCTGCACTGGCGGTGACACAGCTCATTGGCAGGCGCCTTCGACGATGGTCACAGAGGTTTGTTGTTCGAGCCTGGCTGCCGATCTGGTTAATGCTGCGTTGGTACGAACCACAAAATACTTCGCGCCATCTGCCTCACAGTTGACGTTTGAGATCCCGAGACCGTAATTCGAAATGAGTCCGAATTTGGCAGCAAAAAATCACCCGCAAATTACTCTTGTGCAATTACAGAAATCAATCAGAGTCCCCGATGAGCAGACTAATGCCCGTTGCAGGCCAGTTGCCGAGTCACCATGTGCCACACAGGGACAGCTACCATTGGGGGTGTCCTTTAAAATGTTTTGAGATGATATGTAATGTAAAGTTACTTGTCGCGTGTAAAGCGCGTAAAGGGCGATTTATCGAAAACAAATCGTCATTATTATCGCCACCACCGCCAATCATAAATAATTTTATATACATTGGAATCTTCATAAATAATGATTAATCAATATTATGAAATGTTGTTTAAGAATATACTTAATAATCACTTCTGTCATCAATATAATCATCAATAAGTGACATCAACCTTCCAGAAAGGAAAACCATGAATACTCTGACGACGCTGATGTTTTCATCGGCGCCGTTGACTCCAAGGTGTGCCAGCTGCGTTCGTCCAGATCTGGTGAATCTCTCCTCTCCCTTCTGTGTGCTACGAGGAAGGGCTGCTGCCCGGCACGTCGCCTCATATATTTAGCCTTTTTAAGGCCACGCAGTACGAATGTGTCGAGATCACGTGAGGTGTGAGCATGAGCAGCAGCAGCAGCTCACGCGATGGAGGAGCTGGTGCCCTCAATTGGCTCTTCTACCTCCATGCGTCTCCCCCATGGACGCCTCGCCCCCCCCCCCAGCTCCATCAACGCGTCGTGTACTCGTCCGCTAGTCCCTTGCGCCACGTTTCCACGGCCAGCGGTGGGGGTGCCGGCGCGGTGCTCCAACCGAGCTCACGCACGGAATTCTTCCGAGGCTGAGGCGGGCCCCAGGCTGCCTGCTTAGCGAAGCGTGGGCACGCGGGCCAGGGTCCCTGGTGCTGCGTCTTGCACCTCCGATTAGCACTTTTGGCTACGTACGGTGCGAGAGATGTTCAACATACCATACGTACGTGCATCAGGGCCAGGACTGGCTCGTTCCTGGACAAGCAGAACCCGGCTCTCAGTGGTCGTGGAAATCAGGCAACGCGGACTCCCCCCGCCGATCCGGGCTCATAGCCTTCGCGCTCTCGTTCTGAACCCAGCCGCTTTCGTGTTGAGAGGTGTTAGTGTCAACGGTCGATTATGTAGCCGCAGAAGCCTCCCTGGGGCTCACGCGGCTCTTTTTAACGAGGGTCTTGCTTTGATATGCTTGAGCGATTTCAGTATTTATTTATTTATAATGTGCGATCTGTCTTATATTTAAAAAAAACGCTAATCGTGAATAGATCAACTCACTTTGGCAGCGTCCCGCTGTTGAAACCTTGCGACTATGATCATGATAATTGACGGAACTTTGTCAATCCAATGATGGGTGAAGGCCTCATCACGCGCCGTGTCTGTTGCGTTGCATTGTTCCTTGTTCTATCATACTTCACCACGATGGTCAATGCGGGTTGGTGAACAACCACCGCGGACTTTCCCACGAAGTGGTACGTAGTGCACCGACCCTCCGATTTGCGAACGGCGTGTATTTTCTTCAAGTGACATTACAGAGCTGTTGCGCAAAACTTGCGGCGAGGGCGGCGTCAATGGCTACACGGGAGCCACGGCGAGTCTCAAGACCGCTCATCAAGGAGGGCCCTGCGCTCGTACGTTTGACCAATGGTGCGGTGTACGGGGAACACTGCCATGCGAGAGGGCATCGCTCAAACGACGTGCTTGATGTTCTGCCTCCAGAAGAAGAAGAAAAGACATTGCAAACTTTACGTCCGTCTCTGCGTGATCTGCCAACACCCAACTCTGGATCTTCTACCAGAGGGGAGGGAGGTTGTTAAAGCCAAAAGCCATAGCCACGCGTGGCCCCGGACATCACTTGAACTGTGTTTACACTGAGGCCGTCGGTTCACACACCGGACCTGGTAGGAAAATAACAACTCTGTTCCGAACTATGGATCTTGTTCTTGAGACACGGGAAACCTCCGTTCCATGCACCATCACTTATACCGCACCGCCGGCCATACCCAGTACAGAACACCCCCCCCCCCCCCCGCTGTTCCTCACCACTTGTTCCAAACAGGTCTCTCAACCTGAATGTGTGTCCAGTTAAATTTGAATGCAAGGCTACCAAACGGTCTGGTTCGGCCGGCACATTCTCGGTTGCATACAGGCTAGCCCCCTCGAAGTGTTTTTGTTGTTGTGAAAATTGTGAATGTTGTCTCCGTTTTAAAACGTTCTGGCCCCAGGGCTCGACTCGTGGTGTGGGCAAAGGGCGGAGTACCATAACTAATGGGCGGGGCTACCTCAGTAGTGGGCGGGGCTACTTGAAAAGAGAGGAGGGGCTGCACGCGTCGTGAGCGGGGCCAGTAGGTGAGTAGGTGGGGCTATAAGTCAATGGGCGGGGTTATCTGTGTAGTGGGTGTGGCTACCCGTGTAGTGGGCGGAGTTTGTAGTTAAGTGGGCCGGTCTGACGTTTACCGGTCGAGCTATCCCAGAAATGTGGAAGCCTAATTCCAGGAATTACTTCCCGTGTGCTTTCAACAAGCAGCTGCGTGTTTAGTACAAAGCCCTCCACCGACTCCTGATTTCACTCCGATTTCTATTTGCTTCATTACTGTACCTTAATTTGTTTGCTTTTGTAATTTTGGTAACCCAGGATACTCTGGCAAATGAGTCTCTTATCCTGGTCTCTCGTGAGTTCTCACCCTGGTGAAACAACTCCAACCCGTGGCGTGAACTCGGCCTCAGAGAGACACAGCGCCTCCGCGTTTTTCGGATTATTCGCGCTCAACAGGACCGAAGCGGCCACATAATCACGTAGCGTTTTGTGTAAAGAGTGTGGGACAAGATCAAACGAGAGAACAACTCACCCATACCATACGAAACACTGTAGGGTAACGATGATGATAACGACGACGGTGAATATTTTTGTAGGGGTCATTGTGCGACATCGTTGCTGCCCGTGGCCTGCCTGCTGTGGCACGTGCGAGTCCACTTGCGCGTGCGTCAAGGTGTGTGGTGTCGTGTCAGCTGCGCGTGTCTCCGTGTCTAGTACTGTGCTGAGTAGCTGCCATGCGCTCGTGTGAAGTGAAACTTTTTGTTCTGTACTGCAGGGTTCCCCTCCCCGAAAGTTCAGTCCTCGCGATCAGCCGCAACACCATTTTAATGAACAAAAAAAAACCTCAACACATTCGTGAATAACACTGTCTTGAAATAAATATACATAAATAAGTAATATTAAAAAAAAACTTTTTTTTTTAAAACACGCTTTATTTAAATGTACCGTACTAGTAATGGAAGAATTATACGACTCCAGGAAGTGGCCCCGAAGCTTGCCATAACGTAAGGGGTTCGTGGTGATTTACAGCCAACGTCAGTTGAGCGTGGACAATTAGACCCAATCTGAAATATAACATATAAAAAATGTTTCAAAATATATTTTTAATTTTAAATGGTAGAATATAGTATTGTCATCAGTATGACATAAGTATACCAAGTTTGCAGTCGATACCACATTGAGAAGTGGGTAAAAATTGAGTTACAAGATTTGAGGGTACAACAGAGTGAGTTAATAAAAAGCGTGTAATAAGCGACGTTGCAGGCAATGGGCCTTCATAGCACATTTCTATAAAGAGGCCAGAGAGATAGAGTTGGTAAGAGTTGAAGACTGCTCTTAACACAATAGGGCCTGATGAGAATGAATATTTTAAGATGTTTTCTCATGACCAGTGTTTAAATTGGCATATGATTAGTTCCCAAGTTGAGCAATTCACCTCCGTTAACATACATAGTCAGCTGTTAAAACAAACGTGGCGCAGAGAAAGCGGATCCAAATAGAGAGAGATCATGTGCAGTGTGCACGTGTGTGCGCGTGTGAGCCCCGCGCGAGTGGAGAGGGCGCTTTTAATTTCAGTTTTAAGTTTCATTTATTTGGTATAGCCCTGTGAGCCATTCGGCTCTTGAATCGGGTGCAACCGCAACAAAAAAAACTAAAACATGAACAAGAAAACATCGTAAAGTGACTATGTGACTGTGCAAACAGAAAATCCAGGATAAAACAGCAAAATATTCCTGAAAAAGCACCGTACACCAACGCTGAGTCTATGAACCAAGCCACGTGGAACGCGTTGAGCAATCATCGGACGCGTGCAGCGTGTAACGAATTAATTTTACTTGAATGGAGGATGGAAAGACGGACCTGTGTGGGCCGCGAGGACTGGAGTTGTGGCAAACTCAACTGCGCTATATTTCCATACATCGCCGCTGCCCTTTTAAAAGCAGATAAAGTCGTTTTCAGATTTGTTAATTATTGTTGAAACACTACCTACAAGTATTTGTAAAAAAAAAGTGTTACGGTTTATACGTGTGGTCCAAACGTGTTACGTTTCTTAATTATCGTTGGGTGAACACATTAAAGTATTGACAAAGCAATCGCGTGAACGGCTGATGACCACGACGTCAACGACCACGACCAGGCACCACTAAGCGCATAGGTTCGAATCCAGATGTTAGCCTCTCGGCAATAAACGTAAGGACCCACATACTCGCTAGGATATACATGTGAAGAGCCATAGACCTACATGGAAACCCATTGACTCATGGGGATGCTGTCCATGGTGTAATAGGTACAGGACACTGGACTGGCAATCCAGAGGTCGCCGGTTCGATTCAACAGTGTAAGTTTTGTTTTAATTGCCTCGACCTCTGTCCGCCTAGCAGTATGAATGGGTACACCGCGGTTACTCCAGACGCACGTGGTGGGGAAAAGTGAGCGTGTTAGAGAAGGCCAAAATACCCTCCATAAAGTGGCTCTCTCGAGCCGCTTCTAGTGGAGGTCCTTTTGCCAGCAGTGGCGTGAGCAAGTCGGGCTGCATCTTTGACCATAGACTTACATCGTCCAGTGGCTCCAGGAGTAAGGGCACTGAGCCAGCACGGCTCTGATAGCCGGGGATTCTAATCTGGGTACCAGCAGTCCGTGAATCGTCTTTTGTTTGGCAGCACGATTAGCAACAATCTGCTATTGCGTGGTGGTTGGCGAGCCAGTGCAGAGAGCTAAGGGAATGATACTAATAACTAAACTATTTTTTTTTATTTTACCAGGTAAGGCCCACTGAGCTATAGAGCTGTTTTTCAGAAGCGACTTGACCACAAATGGTAGCACAACGAAGTGGCTTATCAAGTGCAAATTTCACGCGACCACGGGGAGAACATGCAAACTCTAAATATACAGGTTTCAGGGTCGGGATCGAGCCCACGACCTCTTGTACGCCAGGTGAGGTAACTAACATCTCGCCACCGAGGCACCCCTGTTTTTCACTGTCCGAGATGATGCTATGACTGTCCGAGATGATGTTGTGACTGTCCGAGGTGATGCTATGACTGTCCGAGATGATGTTGTGACTCTCCGAGATGATGTTGTGACTGTCCGAGATGATGTTGTGACTGTCCGAGATGATGTTGTGACTCTCCGAGATGATGTTGTGACTCTCCGAGATGATGTTGTGACTCTCCGAGATGATGCTGTGACTCTCCGAGATGATGCTGTGACTCTCCGAGATGATGTTGTGACTCTCCGAGATGATGTTGTGACTATCCGAGATGATGTTGTGACTGTCCGAGATGATGCTGTGACTCTCCGAGATGATGTTGTGACTGTCCGAGATGATGTTGTGACTATCCGAGATGATGCTGTGACTCTCCGAGTGGAGGGCACGCCTTCAGAATTAGTTTTTTTTGTAATTGAGGATCGGTTTAATCGTCAAAAATCGATCATAAATGCTAAAAAAGAACCAGTACAGTATACGTGGTTTTCAATCGGTCTATTCATGATGAAGTGTCCATTAAGCTGAACAACGGCATCCAATTTTATAGGGTCAATACATTTAAATATCTAGGCTCATGGATTGAGAAGTTACATTTGTATTATCTCACGGTAATCTTAATCTAAGGCATAATCTGGAATGTTGGTACACACATAAGTTGGCCTTGAGTCGTGCATTAAGGCATCGATTATAATTGAAGGCAGTGATGCTTCCAGTCCTTGACTGCTTATGATAGCTTGACACCAATAGCACAATTAGGAGGATAACTGAGAAAAAAAACAACAGATGCCATATAAATTCTGTGGAAATCTGGCTCCATTGGGACGACAGGTCGCAAACGAACGGTATTCTCCCCGTATGAGACGCACTCTCCGCCCCCATCGATGAAAATGTTGTAGCGATTAGTGCGCGATGTTACGAACCCGGCGACCCGAGTTCGATTCCCGCTCACGGCCAACGTCAGTGACGGTGCTGGCCACCACCATCATCATAATCCTGTAGGTGTGCGATTGTCTTTTGTCTCTAGATTTGCGTAACTTTATTGGCACAGGGCACAAGTTCGTGGATGCGTTTTACTTTCTGGAGCGCCTAATAATCCGGAGATTACGGTAGATATCTGAACGCACTCCAACATCCAATCCTTTGAAGTTCCGAATTGGGTTTTTTGGATGATGCTCCTCGCTTGTTAAGCGATCCGTTCAGTATATATCAATAGATAGATCTAATTATCGACTCGCTTCTTCTCAATAAGAAAGCGAGAATAATTGTTTTGGTCAGAGATTCATAATCTCATAAAAAAATATATAGCGGGTTTAGCGAGGCTCTCACTTGAAGTGTCTTTAATATCACGGTTGCTGAGCACAGTACCCAAAGGGCTTAATCGCCTAGCGGCCAGCTACTAGCAGCACCGTGAGCGTAGTAATAGATGAAGAGTTCACGCCGTTGTTGAGATATGTTATTACTGAACTTGGCAAAAGGAGAGACGATGGGAGGGAATTCCCAAGTTGAGCAGTGCAAGGGGGAAAAAAGACTAAGAGATAAATGGGACGTGAGGCGTGGTGAGTTGCCGTGTTGTTGTGGGGAGCGGTGGTGTAGCGTTGACGTTGCGAACCCGGCGACCCGAGTTCGATTTCCGCTCACGGTCAACGTCAGTGACGGTGCTGGACACCACCATCATCATCATCCCCTCGTATGCCGTGCCGGCCTTCATAGGTGCGACTCGCTAACAGCTCTCGCCCACGAAAGTCTGTTGGAGCTATACGAGGGGTCTTTGTTATTGTGACCCGCAAAGGTGGTGGTGGTGAATGGGAGAGTGACTGAGTGTGTTGTTGTGACCTGCAGTGTCGTAAGTGGACGAGTGGCTGAGTGTGTTGTTGTGTGACCTGCAGTGTGGTGGGCGAGTGGCTGGGTGTGTTGTTGTGACTGCAGTGTGGTGGGCGAGTGGGTGAGTGTGTTGTTGTGATGGTTGAACACAGTATGGATGAGACGAAACAGCCTGGTCGACCGAGTTGTCAACATGGGTGGAGGAATCAATGACTTCACATTCACGGGGTCAGTTGCCGAGTGCCCGGGGTAAAAGGGGAGAGATCCGGCAGGGTTGGGAAGTACAAAGAGGGCGAACTAAAGTAACCCATGTACTGCAGTACAGTATACATGTCCAACGCTTCGTCAATCCACTGCTGGTCGATCATGGAGACACTGTATATTTCACCATACTTTACCACGCTGTTCAGGTTGGGTTGGTGTGACGGGGATGACTCAGGCCACCGTGTTCAATGCGCTGTTGCCATAACCCCGACGACCTTCTTCAAGGGCTAAACGTCAGATTTTAACACAAATGCAGCCCTCACTCCTCTTGCCTCGGCCCTGCCCTCAGCTTGTAGTATTTATATTTCATATACAACAGAAAGGTGTAAAAGCAAAAGCACACAGCCTCTGTACTGCGGTGTGCGAAAAGCCACCAGCATTTCCTCAAGAAGTAAATTTTAATCCTCTTGTCTTGGGTCACCATCGATGTTTAAAGACTGGCGTTGACGAGGAAGAGACAGTCAGCACTCGGCGGTACAATCACTATCGCTTTGATCCCTGTTGCTGAGCTACCATCATCTCCTCGTGGCTGCAACAGCCAGAGCCTGCACAACACTTGGTATTCCCAAGCAGTATTCTTACCATTGATATAGGCCAGGGGTCGGACATCAAAATAACAAGAGCCCTTTTTTGTCGAATTCAGGAGCAAACTCAATATTTCAAGAGCCGTCAATTGCACGTTAAATACGAGACGGTCCTTAATAAATAACGTCGCCAAGCAGTTCTTAAAGAGCCGCAGGTTTCCGACCATCTGTACACGGCGATCGAGTACGCAGGCAGTGCAACTGCACCGGTGCCCACAGGCCGAAGGGGGCCCAGGTGCCAGGCTTCGAAGAGAGGAGAGAAATTGGACTTGGGGCTCCCATTTAAGACCACAGTATTACTATTTTAAATTTGAGCAAGTAGGACCCACTGAGCTATGTAGTTGTTTTTTTCAGAAGCGACCTGGCTATCACAAATGATAGCTCACCGAAGTGGCGAATCATGTGGACGTGTATAGCTGACGAATGTTACTCTAAACGCATGTTTGAAAATGTGGAGTGAAAAAAAACCCCGGAGGACCCGGAGAAGAACCCCCGCGAGCACGGGGAGAGAAACACGCGCAAAGTTACAGGCGTGTCAGGGTCGGGGTCGAACCCACGCTCTCCTGCATACCAGGCGAGGGAGTTAACATCTCGCCACCGTGGTGCCCAGGCTGGTGCCAGAGCCAGTGCCAAGCGCGTAACGTACAACTGTGCGCCCATCCCAGGACCCAGCGAGGCTCAAATGAGCTCCGCTTCCGAGATCGGGCGCATTCTGAGTGATTTGGTTGGGAAGAGAAGACTTTGGATTGGCAGGCAGTCATGGAAGCGTGATAGAAGGAAGGTGTCGAGTGAGGAATTGGAAGAGGGGGTGGGGGGTCAGAAATGAGGGCTGAAGATTGATTCTTCCTCGGCGGGTATGAAATTAACTCACAAACACCTCATTTGTGTGCAGCATAGGCGCACTCTTCTCTCCTGTGGCGAGTTTGTCACAGCGATGACAGAGGGATTTTCCTCTCCGTGGTATAAGGCGACAAAGGCAATGATGGCTATACTGTACTGATGGTTCCTAACAAGGGTGAAAACAGTATCGCAGTTGTCTCACTGGCCTGCTGCTGCCTAAAATAATGCGGCCACAATTTTGCCCCTTTTGAGTTGGTGGTCTCGACACGGATGTGCGCATTACAAAGGTTTCGCTCGCTTTATGCGGGTTCGCTTTATGCGGGCTCGCTTTTTGCGCCCCTTGTTTTGGAAGGCATCCTCCGCATAGAGCAGTGTTCTTCATCGCAAGGTCCGCAGGCCACGAGCGGCCCCTGGTGGCCTTTAATGCGGCGCCTGACATGGAGGCCCCGACAATACACAACGTGTGAAAACAACACCCATCATCATCATGGTGCTGCTGCTGTCAAACCCAACCATGGTTTCAAATGGTGTGGCGGTCCTCACACTGATGATGTCTTATCGGCGAAAGTGCTCCCCCCCCCACCTCCACCTCTGAAAATGAGTGAAGAACGCTGCTCTAGAGCGATGGAAACCTGAACCGTGCACGCAAGTCGCGTGGTGTTGCAAGTCGCGCGGTGCTTCAAGTCGCGCGGTGTTGCAAGTCGCGCGGTGCTGCAAGTCGCGCGGTGTTGCAAGTCGCGCGGTGCTGCAAGTCGCGCGGTGCTTCAAGTCGCGCGGTGCTTCAAGTCGCGCGGTGTTGCAAGTCGCGTGGTGCTTCAAGTCTCGCGGTGCTTCAAGTCGCGCGGTGTTGCAAGTCGCGCGGTGCTTCAAGTCGCGCGGTGTTGCAAGTCGCGCGGTGCTTCAAGTCGCGTGGTGCTGCAAGTCGCGCGGTGCTTCAAGTCGCGTGGTGCTGCAACAGCCGGGAGGAGCCCACCGGTCACAAACTGCCGCCCCCTTGTTGCCCCCTTAGAGGCCACGCGTGCGTCGTGAATGACTCCACGCGTTTTGTCTCCAGGCTGCGCGCACCAAACCACCCCAGCTCTCTCTCCGACGGGGGTCGACATCACTCTAGCATAGAGCGCACAGAGGGGGTTTACTCGGTAGGGCCGAACGATTAATCGATTTCAAATCGATTAATCGCAATTTGAAATGATGCGATTAGCAAATCGCAAAGGCTGCGATTTTTTTGCGATTTGAAAAGTCCTATTGCTTTCTTGTTGGAATAGTTTTATTTATTATTATAACTTTATTTAACGTAACAATTGTTGATTTAAAACTTTCGTGACTACAGTAATTCATATTCTTAGTTCTTTCGGTAAAGTCACGTTGAAGGGAAACAACAAAATAATAAAATATATATAAAACAATAAAAAATTCTCACGACGTTTCGACCATAACACAAACGGTCGTCTTCAGAACACAAACGGTCGTGAGAATTTTTATTGTTTTATATATATTTTATGATTTTGTTGTTTCCCTTCAACGTGACTTTACCGAAAGAACTAAGAATATAGTAACAATTGTTCTATGTTTGATTTTTCTATTTCAATTAAAACATTTCAATAAATACATGTTGGAAGCAATTAATATCTTTTAAGTTTTCATCCTTGCATTAGAATACATAGAGCAGTTCATATGTTGATGGTATCACGTGGTAATGCTCCATCACGTGATTTAAATCTATTACACAGTGAATATTGAACTGAAGCGTGACTTAAAACATTTTAATCGCAAATCAAATCGCAATCGCAATGTCAGAAAAATCGCAATGTTATATTTTCCCCGAATCGTTCAGCCCTAGTTTGCTGAAGCGGTGGTGGTGGGGGGGTTGGTGGGGGGTGGTCCCTGGTGTGGGTGGGTGGGGGAGGAGGGGGTTGCCGTGACAACGGCGAAAACAAACAGTGGCAGCAGGGACGCGGAGTGCAGAGAGAGTCGAGCATCGCATAGGCACGGGTGGGATAGGCACGGGTGGGATAGGCACGGGTGGGATAGGCACGGGTGGGATAGGCACGGGTGGGATAGGTACACGTGGGATAGGTACGGGTGGGATAGGTACACGTGGGATAGGTACGGGTGGGATAGGTACACGTGGGATAGGTACGGGTGGGATAGGTACACGTGGGATAGGTACGGGTGGGATAGGTACGGGTGGGATAGGCACGGGTGGGATAGGCACGGGTGGGATAGGCACGGGTGGGATAGGTACGGGTGGGATAGGTACACGTGGGATAGGCACGGGTGGGATAGGCACGGGTGGAATAGGCACGGGTGGGATAGGTACGGGTGGGATAGGCACGGGTGGGATAGGCACGGGTGGGATAGGCACGGGTGGGATAGGTACACGTGGGATAGGTACGGGCACTCGTTGGCATTATCGCGTGTCCACGTTCTTCCCATCATCACTCCAAGTGGTACCACCACCTCCGTCGTCGTCGTCATCTATCCCAAGGTTCATCGTGAACAGCATCAACTGTACGTCTTAATATGTACTTATGATCATCATCATCATCACCACCTCCACCGTCACCAACGGCGTTCTATGGTTTCATGTCATCTATCCAAGATGTAGAATTTCAGCGGCATTGTTTTAAGAAAAGCAAACGCTGGACTGGTTTCGACGTCCAGTGTCTCATCAGCAGAGCCAAGCCTAACTCCGTTGATGAGACGCTGTATATCGAAACCGATCTAGAGTTTTCTTGATTTGACTCACTGCTGATGAAATAATGAACTCCCAGAAGGTTGGTGGAATGGGTGAAAAAAAAAACTTGTATTTAGTATGCAGAGAGACGTTTATGTGAAGGAGACGTCCGCTTGTTACTTACATTCTCCACGATGGCGCTCGTGATTATGTTGAGTTATCTAAGATGTAGGTCCATCAGTCGTAGATGAATGATCATCTACACAAGTTGCACCGTAATTATCATCACATTGTCTGTGTCTCGTGAAGAGTGTTCGCCGAATGTCAATCACATCATCATCATATATCCAAGGTTCCATCATCATCGTTAACAGCATCAACTGTACGTCTGAGTTGTATTTATGATAATCATAACAGCCATCACAACCATCACCTGCATGTTAGTTCTCAAGAGTTCAATTGAGTCAACACAATGAATGTTTTGTGTGATTGATGGAGTCACTGGTGACCGGGTTGATACCATCAACTCCGCTCGACTTGAGAACGGGTTTCATCACAAATACATCTACGTGGGTCTATGGGCCTCTGTAAATCAGTGGGTCTCTATGCGAGTACAGTACTGTGTATATGGATCTCTTAAGTGAGTCTATTGAACTCTACGGGAATCTTTGGGTCTCTGCATTAAACCGTAATATAGGTGTTGGGAGGTTAGATCGCGTAAATATGTGTCGTTAAACCCGCCACCACCCGACTCAGACAATTAGTAAGGTTTGTCACGTAACCAAAACATGTAAATTCGTTACTAGTACAGCACACTGGTGTGTTGGATAGTAAAACCACAACATTTACATTATGGATAATATTGGTCGCCACAGCCTACGTGTTAAACTCTCTGTATTTAAGTTATTGGGGTGACCCGGCTGAGTCCATCAACTTGCTCGACTTGAGAACCCGGTGTCATCAAAGGTGACCGAAACTCCCACTAAGCAGTCTGAAACCCATTATCTCAGTGGCGCCGATTCGGCACCCCAAGCACACGGCCACTACGGACCCCGAGCCACCCGCCTTGAAAACCATTGTCCCCTCCACGGGGTGGTCCAGATGTCTCGTGACCTCTCAATTTATTGACCCCCGAAATATTGTTTTTCCATTGCACATTAATTGCTGCTTTAAATAAACCTCACTTTAACAAAAATAGTAAATGGGGGGGGGGGGGGTCTCAAGACCTCTGGACCACCCTGTACACTAACACGCCCTCTCCGAGGCCACGCAGAGAACGAGAGGAGGTGCCGGTGTGTTGGCACGGCGCCAGAACAATGTCTGCAGCCAAAGGGGCCCCCCCGAAGGAGAAGGAGCCCCCCAACGAGGTCCACCAGAACGCGATTCTGTGCGAGTCGATCCGCAAGGAGGAGCGAAATCTGCGCCTCTACACCGAGTTCAGCATCAACCCCTACCGGAAGCGTGAGGCTGCCACCCAAACATGATTAAGAGTGCCCCCCCCCCGACCCACCCGCTGCCCCCCCCGACCCACCCACTGCCCCTCTCTCTTAATGGGTGCGCACCCCACAACACACAACACGCACGCACTAGAGGTGCGATCTCGAAGTTGGGGTTAATCTGAAACAATACAACAAAAATTCGAAAATCAGGCCTGGATACGAACCGTCGGACTATCCAAACGGCAGTGACGTCACATCCGCTGTTTTACCATCCACAGTGACACCACGAGGCGTCGTCGAGTGACACCACTTTTTCTTCTTTGGTTCTTTCGGTAAAGTCACGTAGAATGAGAATAAAATAATAAATTAATAAAATAAAATAACACAATAAAATTATCACGACGTTTCGGCCACAACACAAGTGGCCTTCATCAGGTGAAGGGACGAGACTGTCTGGAGGACAGCGCTGGAGCGAACACAGCCAAGCTCAGACCGCGACCTTTAAGCTGTGTGAGAAGAAACAGCGCCTTGACAAAGGAATTAGTATTAAATTAGCATTTAATTGGCGGACTTAGCATGATGAACGGTGTAGAGGGGGTGAACATGTGCAGACAGGCGAGGGGGGGAGGGGGAGTTTACATATTGATGGTGTGAAAAGGGAATTTAAGCTGCTGCGAAAGTTTGGAATACCACTACTTGAAAAAATATACTGTACCATTGAAAATTAGTTTAATGTTTGGTTCGGATAATTTAGCATTGAAATAGCTGCGTGATTTGCTTGTGACTGGTCACAGAAATGGCTATGTTAAAGTCAAATCCTACACATCCACAGAGGCACTTAGTACAAATCAAACAAGAGAATTTAGCATTGAAATAGCTGAGTGATTAGCTTGTGACTGGTCACAGAAATGGCTATGTTAAAGTCAAAGCCTACACATCCACAGAGGCACCTAGTACAAATCAAACAGGAGAATTTAGCATTGAAATAACTGAGGGATTAGCTTGTGACTGGTCATAGAAATAGCTATGTTAAAGTCAAAGCCTACACATCCACAGAGGCACCTAGTACAAATCAAACAGGAGAATTTAGCATTGAAATAGCTGAGTGATTAGCTTGTGACTGGTCACAGAAATGGCTATGTTAAAGTCAAAGCCTACACATCCACAGAGGCACCTAGTATATATCAAACAGGAGAATTTAGCATTGAAATACCTGAGGGATTAGCTTGTGACTGGTCATAGAAATAGCTATGTTAAAGTCAAAGCCTACACATCTACAGAGGCACCTAGTGCATGGACGCCAAAGGGGCTGCAACCACTCGACTATCATATTGTAAACCGATGTGAAAAAACCTAAGTCTAAATTACATCAATATAATAAATGTATTCAATATATTCTTCAATAAGCTGAGCTATTAAGAGTAACTGGGTATACACTACACTATATAATGAATACCATATAGTAAACCAATAAAAACGAAAATATAAACTACCTCAATGTTATCAATAAACTCTATATATTCTCCAATCAGCTAAGCTACCAACAATAAGTCGTTATATATCACAATGCTATATGGCGAAAAAATGGGTGGATTCTTACCCTCAACTTTAGCACCACGGATAGCTACGGGCCCCGTTCAGACGGACGAGTTCATCCATGGTCGGAACGGAGGAGGGGGAGAGAGACAGCTACGAGGCGCTGTTATACTCCATGTTGTAAACCATACCATTAACTGTGGTGTGAGAGGTATTAAGAGTCAATGCCAGCGAAAGATCTGTGGTCTGAAGGTGATCGTAAAATACAATTAATTAAGAACCGAAATGGTTTAAAACATCTTTCCAATGGTTACTAAGCCAGAATCCATCTTCTCGGTTGAAATTGTCTATGTGCTTGTATATGTGAATGGCCTCATGAACGAATCTCTCATGGTAGCCGGTTGGTTTGCAAAGACACCACTTTGTGAGCCTCAAGACCCGTCAATAAGCATCGTGTAAATGATCCAAAAAGCCACATTCCCGAACACCCATCAATACCAAAATTCGCCACTAAGTGACGGTGACGTCATCACAGCGCTTGTGCCAGGCTATGTGCACGTTGAGCCCACGTGAAGTGTCGAACGCCCGCTGGCAGGAGGTCACGAGGCAGACCCAGGTGCCACGGGTCGACTGACACCCACACACTGTCCCACCCCCTACGCTGGTCTGCTCTGGTCAGTGACTCAGATTTCTGTTCAGCACCCAGAACACCACGTCTAGTATACACCTCTTGCTAGAGCTGTGGCTTGGGTTGCCATTGAAAAATAGCTTCTTAGCTCAATAGACCAATCACATATCACCTGTACTCAAGTTTACCGGCAGCGCAGAAAAGTACTCCGTGAGAAATTAAGCCCTTCGCATATTATCGGCAACAGGACAATCTGCTGATCAGGCTCAACAAGATAAGTCCTAAACCACACACCCCACCCCAGCCACTCATCCATCCACACGTTACATTTCAGTTACAACGAGCTGAGCTGCTTCTACATGGAACCAGCCGAAGGACCTGGCGCCTGTAACCCGTCCGTGTGGCCCTCTTCCTCGTGTGTTGCAGTTTACACCATCGCCGACAAACCTAACGCTCCCTGCAACAGCCAGCGCTACGAGGATGGTACGTGCGTGTCCAGTTGGCCATTGTGGAACAGGAGGGGATCGAATTGAATCCTTGTATATATATCGCACACGTGTTCGTTGTTTTGTGTTTCCAGTTAGAGGGTGGGGGGTTATTGGGGGCGGTGGGCAGTGGTGGCGCAGCGGTTCGCGTTCTGCGCTACAAAACCCAACTACCTGAGTTTTATTTCCATACCACGGATAACATCTGAACCAGTCTTGGTCTTCAATTCGTACTTGGTGTGCCGTATAAATATCAGCACTGGGAAGACAAAGGCGGGCGGGCGTGATTTCGGTCACACCACCCTCACGTGCACCCTGTGCCTCCCTGAACACATGCTCGCAAATAACATTTGCCCCGATATTCCGAATGACAATACGGGGCATCTTCGTTGGTTTTTATGGTAGTGGTGCGAGTGGTGGTGGTAATTTTGGTGATGATGCTGGGTGCTTATGGCCGACGAGGTAAGGAAGAGAGTTCGATACGAGGACACTGCCGGTCTGCACACCTTATCGCTTACAGCTGTAGTAGCATCGTGTGATAATCACCCTACAGCGAGCATGGCCATGTACTGATGTGCACAAGAAACTTCTCCAAATGTCAGTCGGGCACAGCACTCACTTAAATATCGAGTGTTGTAAAGAGTCGAGACAGGGCTCATTCTGATGAGAGGGAGTCAGACACCTCTTGTTTGACGATGACCTACGTACGACCTTTGGGATTGATAAAAAAAAACGCGACCTATAATTTCCCCTGTTTTCATCTTAATTGGGTTTAAGAATTGTCGAATATGCTTACAAACCGCACAATTGAGTTGAGAGTTGCGATTTTATTAAGTGTAAAATTTTACATTTCATGAAATGTTTGGGAGTCGTTTGGTGGGGAAGGGATCTGATTCAGTGAAATGTCAGGCGCATTTACCAGCACTCTAACACCATACACGGTAACGCCCAATGCACCTGGTGAGTCGGGGGATCGTTTGATGTGATTTTTGTCAATGAGCCAGCACTAGATATTTCACTTATCAGTACCACCTGAGATGGCAGAATGGTTGCAATTCCTCTATGTGACAAATAACGGTGAATTGTGCGATAACTGTTTGAAATGAGTGGCTTATCAAGTGCTTCACTCGCAAATAATTAACCCTCAAATAACCCCGAAAGTTGTGCCACCTTAGCTGGTACCGATTTCTAAATTGGCCTCACGGACTACATAGCTCGCTCGCGTTTTGCCGTCCTCTGCCAGCCGCCTTCACCGCGGCGTTTCGCCGGGCGGCGCAGGGGCCGCGGGAGAAGTTCTCCTTCCCGCAGACGGAGGCGCAAGAAGTCGGGTGGAACAACGCTCCCCTGGTGCGCGAACCCTCACGCCCCCTGGGGGAACCCGTCACGGCCACACCACAGCGAGCGCAACCGCAACCACCAGCCGGCCGCACCGCAACCATCATGCAACCACACCACAACACAGCCACCACCCATAGAGCTTTTCTCCAGAAATCGCCCGACCACAAGTATCATCCAATAGCTACCACCCAAATAGTCTACCAGTGATTACCTGGCTACCACCACCACCACCACCCAGCCACACCACAACACGACTACCACCACCTACCCTCCCAGAATTAATGCAACCGTAATCTTCGTCAACAGTGCCATCCTGCTCAACTCGCCTGACCACATTGACAATAGACCACCACCACGATCATCCTTATCCAGTCTTGCCACGACCACCATCTACACTACCTTCCACAACCCGCATGATCAGACTTGTGTGCATTATGGTTCATCAGTGTGCAGCAGGGTACAGCAGTCACACTGTGCCCCTCCCCCCCTCCACACACTCAGATCGACACGGACCGCACGGACCGCAGGCTGAACTTCCCCCGCCAGGGCTCGGAGATCACGACCTACATGGAGGCGGCGTGGCGACTCAAGGAGCAGACCCAGAACCTCAAGTGACGGAGCCTCGTCCACCCACCAGCTCCATGTTCACTCGTGGGAGAATTGTCCATCCATGTTCATCCGTGCGCAACAAGTCTCACTCACCCTTACTCTCAACCAGTGTCAGCGGTGTGTGTTATTGGTGTACTCAGAGGCAAGATAGGTGCTCGCCCAACCCATCCGCCCCCATCCCCCCAATAATTTTTTGAGCTAGGGCGCAGCCTCTTTCTCCATCGCCTGAAAAGTGGTCCTCATTCGTAAAGTGACCCAGTCAATGCGTTGTTTCATCACACATGACCAGGAATCCAACTCTTGTTTTGCTGATTTGCTGACGTGTCTGTCGGTCATCCCTGCGTTCATAGCTCGAGAACCCCCAAAATGTTGTAGGGGGATGAGCGATGGATTAAACATCGGCAACGATCACCTTAACGAAGTTGCAAGTTCTGTGAGAGAGTGCGACCTGACCTGGACAGTGGGGACGATGTGTAATGGAGCGATTTGATTGGTTGTGGTTGACAGAATGATATTGATTAACACTTTGCGTTGGTATCTCACGAGTGAGCGATTTCGTAAAATATGTTTATTTTCGTTATCATTGTACTATGTTTAATAATTTCAACTTGTAACGTGCACAGTATGTTGAACTTCTTTCGCACCGTACGTAGCCAACCGTGCTAATCGAACGTGCGGGGGAAGGACAACAAACTAAACACAACGACAAAGCAGTTCTAAATACATGAGTTTGTCAATATAGATGATTTAAAAGTGCATAGCTCTAGTGGCTTCCTAATATCGGAAGGAAGAGCGCTCCAGACGGCCGCAGAAGCGCATCTGAAAGCGCGCGATGCAGTGACCGTCTTTGTTCGATGGCCAGCGAGGATCCACAGACGTGCGGGAAGGCAGCCACGCGGTGAGCCATCGCAGAGATTCCTCCCGAGCTCTGTGGACCTCTATCTATTAAGCTGCTATCGTCAGCCAATTAATGAGTTCATACGGTGCCTGGAAACCGGAGCATCTGGATAAACCCCACGCTTTGCGAGAGGGGGAAACACGCTATCCCATACACATGGATACCTTATTTGATTTACTGCTTTCTCCTGGCGAGCGCGTGTAATGGGCACCTCGATGCGCTTGGTTAGGAAGTTTCACAACACTTTGTTGGTGTGGTCCACCAACCCTCCCCGCCTCCACGGTGCTGGATCACAGACCGCCGTGCGTAGGGCGACCATCGCCCCGGCTAAAAGGGAACGCATGTCCGTCGTTCCACTAATAACTGGAAAATCAAGAGCGGTACCAGCATGCCCGTAACCCCCTCCCCATCCCCTCTGCGTAAACGGCTGTGGTGGTGAAACGCCACCAAACGCGCTCCAGGAGGTATTGGGTAAATGATAAACGCGACTGCTACGACTACCTGTCTAAATGCACTCGAACATACTCCCATCCGCCTCTTTATTCGCTCCCTTTGATCCCCGGTGCGCCTTCAAATAACAAGCCCCAGGAATATCTACATATTACCATACATACTATATATACGTGGATGTATCGTGAGTTCAATATTCAACATCGTGGACGGTTACATAACTACAGCATCGGCTAGTTTGTGTTAGTGTGAGAGCTACACTTTAGTTGTCTGTGAGGGTTACCGGTAGTCTTATGAAGAAGTCCAATTTGCTTAGCGGTAGCGCGACCCGAGTTCGATTCCCGCTCACGGCGAACACGAGTGACGATTATCTGAACCGGTACCTGGGCCGCCCCTAGGTCGACTCAGTCTCAAATGAGCACCTGGTGCGGTGTGTAAAAACATTGCCTCTGGGGAGACAAAGGCGGCCGGGCGTGGTGCTGGCCACCCACACCTTCGTGTTGCCGTTCAGGCCTTCATAGGTGCTTGCTCACAGCACTTGCCACTTGCCCCAACAGTCTATTAAGGCTATACGGGGGATATTTGTCTTTGCTACACTTTAGTTGTATAGTCTGTGAGGGGTAGTACTATGAAGAAGGCCCATTTGCTGACATAAAGTAAATATGAGCGGACTTGCGTTCGGCGTCTCCACAGATAAATAACATTGTGAAAAAATAAGAGTAGGTTTTACCCTTTCTGGCAATAAAACAGTTGTGTTAAGATGTCCAAACACCAAATAAATACCTTTTGTAATGAATCAAGTTTACTGCATTAACCACACGTACTTGCGGTGAACATGCAAACACAAAGATAAACAACAACATCGTTTTAACGAATGACCCCAATCAATGTCTTGTCTTTGACTATGCCACTCCCGCTCAGATTGTGGTGATTTTAGCGCCACCACGTGACCACACGCCAGAGTTGTCCGCTCGTGAAGACACCTTCTGCTCAACATCATCACGTCATGGTCATGAGCGTCGAGTGACCACTGGGATGTGTAAATAAATAACCCACTTTTTTATTTAAAGCTTTCCTGACTGCAGGGATTCATATTCTTGGTTCTTTCGGTATAGTCACTTAGAAGGGAAACAATAAAATAATACAAATATTGTTTTATATTTGTTATATGTTATTGTTTCCCTTCTACGAACCAGGTTTTAAAAAAGAATATAAATAGCCCACTTGTTTACGTGACGGAACAGATGTCGGGAAGGAGGAAAAATGTTCGCTTGTTAATTTCTGTGTTTTGTCAATTATTTTGAGTCGCGGTTTGCGAGATGTTAACTCCCTCGCCAGGTATACAGGAGGTCGTGGGCTCGATCTCGACCCTGACGCCTGCTGTATATTTGGAGTTTGCATGTCTCTCTTTCTCATCATCATCACGGTGGCTAGGGATATGTTAACTACTTCGCCGGGTCTACAGGAGGTCGTGGATTCGATCTCGACCCTGACGCCTGCTGTATATTTGGAGTCTGCCTGTCTCTCTTTCTCATCATCATCACCACGGTGGCTAGGAGATGTTAACTACCTCGCCTGGTATACAGGAGGTCGTGGGCTCGATCCCGACCCTGACACGTGCTGCTGTATATTTGGAGTTTGCGTGTCTCTCGCTCTCCCCGTGGTTGCGTGGATTTTTCTCTGGGGCCTCCGGTTTTTCCCTCCACAATTAGAATCACCATGCGTTTAGACTATTTGGCTGCAATACATTTCCATACACGTCACTTGATTGAACTGCCATTTGTGGCAAGGTCGCTTCTGAAAAAAGAGCTATATCGCTCAGTGTGGGCCTTAACTGGTAAATATTTGAAAGAAAAAAAACACACAGTTGAGTTGAGTTTTATAAACTGAGCGAGCATTTGACGACTCATAAGCCGTGGGGGCTTCGGCCGAGATGAGGATCCCTCCGCGTTGATGGCGTTGGGGGCGTAGAAGCATCAGGGTGGAGATTTGAGAGAGGGAGACCTTGGGGAGGGAGCTGCTGTGACGGGCCAACACCGCCAGGGAGCAGAAGCGATCCGAGTCAACAACGGAGGCGGAATCAAAGTCGTAATAATCTCAACGACACAATCGTTCGTGACACCGACTTACCCAAATAAATAAAGATAACACGTGCATATTAATGCACGAACGTGTCTGTTTGTTATGTGTGCTTGTGCACCGGCTTGCGAAAGCACCAGCATCACCGGATAATCTGTCTCATTAAAGTAACACAAAATAATCGCCGTCATTGGTTTAAGCTGACGAGACGCTGCATGTCGAAGCAAACCTGACTCTGCTGATGAGTCAATGAATATCTAAACCGGTCCTTAGTTTGTCCGTATTAAATTAAACCCACACGGTTTTGAAACAAAGCATTAACATCGGAAGGAGGAGCGTTCCAGACGGTCGCGGAAGCGCACCTCTGAAAGCGCGCGATACAAGTGGCCGTCTTTGAGACTCGGTGAGGCTTTTTTTGTTTTTTTTGCAGGGTGAATAATAAATACGATGACGAAAAAGTAGGAATCTGAAACGCACCGTGTAGGGAAAGGAACACAGCGTGTGTGACGTGGGTCAAGAAAAGACCACGTGAGTGGTATAGCCATACTTCATCACGGTCAAGTATGGTTTAGCCATACTTCACCGTGATGAAGTATGGTGAAACAACACCCATGGCCGACACGGTGTGGGGGGCAGGAGCTTCATGTCGCAGTGGATTGACTGACGATTTACGACAAAGATCCCCCGTCAAGTAGCCTTAACAGACTGTTGGCGCAAGTGCTGTTAGCGAGCACCTATGAAGGCCGATACGGTGCACGAGGGGGTGGGTGGCCAGCCACACGCCCGGCCGCCTTTGTATCCCTCGTGGCGATGTTTACACACCGCACCAGGTACTGAGGCTGAGTCGACCTTGCGGATGCCCAAGACCGGTTCAGATCATCGTCACTGGGTGTTGGCCGTGAGCGGGAATCGAACTTGGGTCTCCAGGTTCGTAGCGCAGCGTAACGCTAACCACTACACCACCGCTCCACCCAGACAGACACAAGACTCAGACGCTGAGAACACGCACTGACAAGCGATAACGCGCATGCCGTACAATGAAAGGCGCACGAATAGCAGGCGCACAATGACACACACAGACAGACACGCGCGCGCGCGCAGTGATAACACGCGCGGGCACACAATGAAAACACAAACACGGGGCTGAAAAGGCGGGTTGCGATCGAGGAGACCGGACAATGGAGACACCAAAGGAAAATCGTGTTTATCTTGGAGACGTCTGTAGAAGACAATGCGAGCGAGCGATCTCGAAACCCTGCCGCACTCTTATCCGTAACCCCGGCTCTAACCCTACCTTTACAACTCAAACCCTATCCCTTAATCCTCTTCATATCCCTTTAGCCCAATACTTTCTCTGACCCATAACCGCAAAACAATCTGCTGTGGGTTTACAAAGCATCAGGACGCGACAGCACCTCAATAATTCTAGATTTGAAGCTTTCGTGACTGCAAGGATTCATACTCTTTGGTTTTTTTCGGTAAAGTCACGTAGGTAAAATAAAAAATAAATAACAGTCACAGCAATATCTTGCTGTGACTGTTCCACCTGAAGACGGAAGCTTGTGTTGCCTCCGAAACGTCGTGATTTAATTGTTTTCTTTTATTTTTATTTTACCTACGTGACTTTACCGAAAAAAACAAAGAGTAAGCACCTCAATAAGCTGCGCACTAACAGCGGGCGTGTTTATTTTACATAGAGGCAGCTTGCAGATGTCGGCAGAGGGAACAGGACAATATATCGAGCCTGGAATTGAACGTCGGACAGGGAGTCAACAGCACGAACGGCCGAGGGGAAGGCGTTCCAAACCATGGGGGACAACAAAGGAGAAGGAGCGACCTCCCACGGAGCCCAAACTGGATCCCGAGCCCTCTCCGTCCCATCTGAGCAATGTTTGTGGCGCGTCCCTTACCACGCCCTTTAGTGGCTCAACGTTGGCTCAACGTTGCGTGTTTTACTGGGAAGTGGCGTGGCGTGGTAGGAAGTT